ATTCAGCATGCGGCTAGGGAAAATGGCTCGGAAAGGGTTTATATTGCTGCTAAATAGCTTTTATTGTAGCTTTCAAATGGTTCTCAATGCGTTCGTCATACAACCTGTTGCAGTAAGTCAATCTTGAAGAGCTTCGAGAATACACCCTTCAGAACCTTCTCCAGGGTGGGCCAACTAGACACATTCTAGTCTTAATGAGGTTTTGGTGGATGCATTAATGACAAAATAGCCTTGACCAGGGTTTTATGAATGTTGTTTTATAGTTGCTTTTTAGTATTTCATAAAACTTAAAATGTTACTTGGGTACTCTAACTATCTTCACAAAAAAATATGATAAAATCGGAGGGGTATGTTTTAAGAAACTCAAAGTTAAATGTTTTTAAATATGAATTTATGGAGTTTTACTCAGATATCATTTTGATCAGATCAATCATTGTCATGTTTTTTTTTATAAAAATATAATACATTTTCCAACGTTACTCTTGAGAAAAAATAAATCTAATTTAAATGAACAATTCAACTTTTGGAAGCAGCGAACATATGGGTGATTTTTCATTCAAATCGGCAACACTTCCAAGCGGTTTGCGTTTTGGACTAGAAATGCTCAATAAGAAAAAGGCAAAAAGATGTTCTGCCTCCTATCGAAGGCATTCAAGGCTACCCCGGCCACAGGTTGTAAATGTCATAAAAATGTTATGAGGAAAAATGTCATGACATTATTTTTCTATATTCAATTTGTATGGTGACATCTGTATGGTGCTTCAGAAGCACGCACACACACACGCATACATTTTCTCTGCTTTGATAGTTGATACATATTTCCTTATCGTGAAAATGGAATCAATAATTCGCATTATTTGATCGTTTAGAAGAGTTTTTACAAATAAAAGTCATAGGTAGGGTAAGGCGGGGTAAAACGCGTCCCGGGGTGATATGACCAACAGCATTTCTTCACGTAATATTTATTTTCTAATTGATAGAAACTGTTAGGATTTCTTCGAAGACAACAAATCAAGAAGACTGGCAACTTTGCCAGAATCCAAGTGACAGATACAGTAGTGCTGCGTTTAAGTAAAGGTGGAAGCAACGCATAGAAAAATGAGCAAATACACAAACCCTTCGTCTGAGGATGTAATCTTTGCTATCAAATTCGTTCGAAGCATTTACCTTTGAGCGGCAGATGACGCGATTGTACCTGTCTCATAGCGTTCGTATGAGAAAATGGAAGAGTTGCCAGTCTTCTTGATTTGTTGTCTTCGATTTCTTCCAAACCAACTCTATGAAAAATCAGTCAAAGTTTTTGGACTGATCAAAGCTGAAATATATTCACATTTGATAACTTCTTCTTAACACTAGTCTCATCACTCTCGTCATCAGCCACACCAAACCAGGTGCGACCAGATTTTTGCAGGTTGGAATAGCGGGCTCAATCGAAAACGGTTGTTTCTAGAGAGATTGGGCACAAAATTAGTGTCCCAACAAATAGCACAGAGACGGAGGATTCCAAGAGCTAAGTTTTCTGTTGATATTGTTCGAAGCAACAAAACAGACGTGGCATACACAGATGTTGCCGGACCTTCCACCCAGCGTGGATCAACGAGCGGTTCATATCCAGCAAAGAAAAGAGGACGTTGTAAGTTTTGCGAAAACTCCGATAACAAACATACCATAACGTGCAGTGGATGTGGTAATCATACATGTAAATTTCATATCCTTATATTTTGCCCAACATGTACAGATTTCTAAGAAACAGTGATTACTGAAACTTTGATTATAAATTCAAAATGTCAACAATAAATAAGTTTGAATTAAACACATGTATCTCAATCTATATTTTTAAACATTTTTCGAATTTGGTTCCGGGTATCAGAATGTTGAAAGATTCACCTTTCGCTCCATGGCATGATGTCTATTTACTTCTGGATGAAACATCATAAATTTTGAACTGTCGGACGATACCAGTAAATGAGGTTTAGGAAAAGTCCTCTTTGAGCCCTACCGGAACCGGTTCAGGGTATCCAGATTTGGCCAGATTTATCTTTCGGACCATGGCATGATGTCTATTTACTCCAGGATGAAAAGTCATTAATTTTGAGCCGTCGGACGGTACCAGTACATGAGGTTTTAGAAATGTCCTTTTGTGCCCTATCGGAACCAATGACAGGCAGCCTAAATGGCCAAATTAGAAAAATCCTGGAAAGGATGCCATTTTAGGATCCTTCAGCTTTCTTTTAAGGCCACTAGATCAAGAATCGGTTCAAAAATGGATTTTTGGGAGTGAGTTGCAATTTGGGTCTTTTTTTACCCTAATGCACAATGTGTAACTTTTTCCTAATGCATTAGGAAGGTAACCTCAATTAGCTACTTACAAATTTAGTTTTCAATCCAAGTTTCAATCCTCTTGCAGATCGGATTCCGTTTGATTTTACTTTGCAAATCACTATAAACGTGCCAACTACTAGCTAATTCACTTTGGGTTTTGTTTATGTTTTGGCATTTACATCGATTTCCTTCACTCACCGTCTACCAGGTTGCTAAAATCATCTGACTGCCCCCGTGCGTCATTTTGCGACAGGGATTGCGTTGCCTGCCCTGCGGTTTAGGTCGCAACAGAAACAGTTTCCCAGATGAAAGTTCAGCAACTCTTCTAGTGATTCTGGGTGAAACCCTTTAAGCTTTGTTTTGAAAAACATATAAATATGCGCTATTGGTCATATTACCTTCTGGCACGTATTATTCCACCGTATTCTATTACACTGGAACCTCCATTTACGAACCGAACCGGAGGTTCGTAAATCGAATTAGTGCGTAAAAAAACTATTGACTTCGTAAAAAGAGATTTTTGAAACTATTGTCAAATACCCAACAATATTGTTATTTTTGGAATAAAGGTGACATGTAGGAACCGGAAATCCATTTCTGACGCCATTTTGAATTCCAAGATGGCGGCAGCCGGTTAGATAAAAACTGGTACATACTGTCAATTACCTAAAAATACGAGTATTTTTAAAAATCGGGAGGACGTGTAGGAACCTAAAATCGTTGTCTGATTCCATTTTTTAATTCAAGATGGTGGCTTCCGGTTACAGAAAATCAGAAAAATACTGCTAAATACCCCTCAATATGGGTATTTTTAGTAACGGTGTGACGTAAAGGGACTAAAAATCCATGTTTGACGGAATTTTGATATCCAACGCAGCAAAAAATAAGCTTTTAATATTACATCCAAGAGGATGCACTTCAATCATGTCGAAAATCTCATGTACCTATGGCCACAAAAAAAATAATGCAGTAAAAGCAGCGTAATGCCAGTTTGCACTGTATTAATGATAATTTTGTCATTTTTAGCAAGTAATATTACACTTTATTTTTGACACGATTGAACAGCATCCAGTTTGATGTGATATCAAAATTAATTTTTAGACCACCCAATGGACAGTAATCGACAATCGGGATCAATAGGATCACCTCAGTTCCAGAACTCTTCCGGAAAGCAAAAGAATAAAAGTGGTATTCATTGATTATGGCTGAATTCAGTGGAATTGGGAAAAATCAATTCAAGCTCTAGAACATGACATCAGTCAAAAAAGCAAACTTTTGATGTTTAAATATCCATCATATTCAGCGGCATTTTGAGATATTGCATTAAATACCTTTGTTTGAAAAAAAAATCCCATTATGCAATGGCTCTAGATTAAATAATAAAGTATGCCTGACAGTCATCAGCCACATTCTCAGCCAAAGCAACTGCCCTCGATGCTACTGATCAACATGCTTCAAAACATCTACAGTAATCCTTTCCGACTCCGCCAGCTGAGTAACCACGTTAAACAAACGTAATTCCAAACACCACTTGGTTAATTCTGTTGAAGATGGAGCATCCTTAAAAGACGTCACAGTCTGTTGGATCACCGGACACTCCGGTATTATTGGAATTCGATGACACACAGCTCCGCTCCTAAACAACAATGTTTCCACTACTACTGATGTGAGTCGTTGGTAATTACGACTGAACACCTAAGAAATTAAATAATCGACCATCAGGACCGTCAAAAGCAGTGGGTCTTCACACGGGGTAGAATTGGACACACCAAACCAACGAATATAAGAATATAAAGCTGCACGTTTCAGATGTGTAAAATGTATACCGCCTGAACATGGGCTGTCACTCAACACTCCTGCTGGAAAACACTTCTATAGATTTCATTTTTCAAAATACGCAGCTGTTTTATACTCCATCGCCCACCGTTACAACCGACCAAGGTAATTAAAAAAGTAATAATGAAGCTACGACACGAGCAGCGCTTCTTGATCCAATATGCTATACGTCGTCGATCAATCACCCTCGCTGTCACTGTTGAGTAATAACGAATTTACGATGATAACGCTAAATTACAATATACTGTCCTCATGACGGCGGCGGTGGTGGCTCTACACAAAGCGCCAACCTGGAAGGGTCACAAAGGTCCTCGAACTTTCACGCTTTTAGCCATCCTGCCAACCAGCCGCAGTCACACTCAATGTGTGAGATAATCTGTTGCTCTTGTCTGTGTACGCTTTTTCCCCACCGCCATGAGCACCGTTCTAGAGCTTTGCGACGTGCTTAGCAGCATGACTTCCGGATATGTGATTCCACCTAGTTCACATTCACGCAAGCAGTAGGGGCTTTTTTTCCCCTGCGACGATGATAGCCTGTCTGTACGAAAACCTCTGCCCTTTGTTCGTTAAACTGAACGATACATGTGTACTTGCTCTTGCTGGTGTCATCCCCGTCATCGTGGAGGATAAAACGTACATAAGGGTTGTGGTTCTTCAAGTGCAGACTAATTTTTAATCATCATTTTCCACACGGCCAACGTGGATGTTGGGAATTGTCCACTTGCCGCAGTGGTGTTCACAATAAATTGGATTTACCCGTATCGATTAATCGAAAATGTGCAATCGCTGCACACAAAAGGTTTACCTAAATTCCCTCAATATCCCCCCGATTGCGTACTTACATGACATTCACCAGTATGCCCAGTCCGGAAGTTATCAGCATAACTTTGCCGTCCACCTCGAAGTCCCGATTGATGGTTCTCAGAATGGCCAGGTAGAAGAGAATTGCCGTCACGACCCAAATCATCAGAACCGACGTCAGGGCACCGATCACTTCAGCCCGATGCCATCCAAACGATAACCTGCCGTTGTTAAAAACGAAACACAAAACAAAAAAGCCGATAATTTCAGTTTCGAGTTCAGAATACACCGTTCGTTATCAAACAATTGCCCTGAATCCCACCCGAAAGAGCATCGAGGTCAAACCTGAATAGAAGGAAACACCCAAAGAAGTTCAAAAAGTCACACACAACTCGGAAGCGACAGCCAGCAGCACACCGGGAAAATTGAAGGCGAGAAAAAAAAGTTAAGCCCCTCAGGATACAAATGCAATCCTATTTCCTTTATACGCCAAATTGGCTTTCGACGCAAAGTTCAGGGATTAAGGACTCCCTCGCATACAAAACCCCACACATCTAGGTACGAGTGGCGAAGGCGTCGCATCCGTTATGCTCACATGTGAGAGAATGTGCACCGTGCAGAAAGAAAAAAAAAAGAGTCTATTGTCGAGAACGAACGTGGAGATCCCGTGAGCCGCCAGGGATGCAACCCTCCACTCACGGGTAGAGATAAAGGAACTGTGATATTTGTCTTCACATTTTTGCCCCACCCAGAGTGAACCAACCAACGCTAGGAGGATGAATGGGAGAAAAGACTAAACAACTATTTTCTTTATTACAAAACATTGCGTGCTCCTGTTTTGGACCGGTTCTTTTTTGAACTATGAATTTATGAAATATCTTCCTAGGGGAATTGTTGTTATTGCCAAGTCAAGTCAAGTAGGGGAGATTCAGAATGTCGAGAGTTATGGTGCTGAAGAAGAATTGGCCAGATTCAAAGTGGGCTATAGAGGGAACAGTCAAGGGATAGTTTTTAAAATCTTTGTCGATGCTGGGTCATTAGGCCGAACGGTCATTGGTCCGAAGGTTATTAGGCTGAATGGTCAATAAGTCAAATTTTGGAAAATTATGTATTTACAGTTGCGAAGAACATTTTCTGGCCTCAAAAACAGAATAAATTGTTTGAAAATAAGGAGAATTCAGCAATGAAATCGCAGGCTAAAAATGCCTCACCTGAAATTGTATCTATGCGTGGTCTCAACATTTTTTTCGTGTCTTTAAAATTAGCTTCTTGAATAGCTTTCCAAGTCGGTTTTCTTATAATTATGATCAAGAACGCGATCATTTTTTTATAAATCTTGAAATGAGATCTTGAAATATATTTTAATATATAAAGTGATCTGAATTGAGACTAGAAAAAACTTACTCTGGCTCGACCAAGACTCCCGGATAACTAGCTCAGCAACATGAAACCCCTGAACTGAGTCTTAGGGCCGGCATGCTACTGGATAATTTGGAGGGACACGTAGAACAAGTTGTATGAAAACTGTAGAATTGCTTAGATTCGGGATACTGAATAATTTAAATAGTGTTTGATGAGAAAGAAATTTTATTCAAATTACTGTATTGGTGTAAAGTGAGTTCTGTTTGGGCTATTGGTGTGGTGAAATGGTCACTTGTTCTGGTACATGTCCGTCTCATGTCAGAAAAAAAGATGAAGAAGAAAAACTCCTACAGAAACTTTCAGCCAAAGTAAACTATCAGTCGGTCAAATAGATTGGTGTGAGAAAAGGATGATCAATTTTTAATAGAAACAAAACTAGTTTGAATGTAAATTTTGCTCATGGTGCCAACGATCACGAAAACAGTAAAACTCAAAAGAATTGCTCAAAAAAAAAGAAGAAAAAATCCATAAAAATGTTACCTTTTGTTTTATAGCCAAATTACAAGAACAAGCTTTTGAAAGAAGGAAAATTAATATGATGGCATATTTTACTCAAGATGCCAAAAACCACAATACCAATAGCAGATCAACCACAAGTATATCACATCCAATTAAAAAATGTAATGTCATCGTCATGGCTCTACATTTTTGATGCTCTAAAATGAACTCAAGTGTTGACACTTTCATACAACGTGTTCAACGCATCATCAAACCTAACTAGACTATAAGTACGAAATGAAAATGAAAAAGAAATTCTCTGGATTTTCTCGTCGTTTCTTTGCTCATCACTTTCTATGAGAGAAATGTCGATTATCGAGTTGAAACGAAACCTCATTATGGCCTTCAAGCCCTTTCACCGACACTATTTCACCACTCTTTCAATGTGTTTAATATGCGTTATTTCCCATTTTCGTTAATTATATTTAGATAAATATGTTGGTGGAAGATAAATCAAACATATTAGGTGTAATCTCCAAGTGTTTATGTGTGTATAACGGCTGTTCAATAAAAAATGAGAATGATTTCAGTACCGTCCAGCGCTCTTGTGAGAGCATCGCGACTAAGTTGCGTCGTACGGCTGACCAGGGCCCCTTCTTCAACATTCATTGACGTTTTTTTTTTGAAAAATAAATTTTATAACAAAAATAGACAAATAGACATAAGGCAAAACTGACCATTTCCTGAAGTCTAACCAAGAAGGGACCATCACCATTCGATTATCCGGACATTTTTACATAAGTACAGTGCAAGCATAGAGGTAACTCTAAGACCAGAAGGCCCGAAGAAACGTGCTCAACTTTTTGGCTCTGCTCTGGTATTATCTTCGGTCGCAAGCTAATCGATGCACCCCTCGGAACATAGAAAAATCCACGAGCCCCTCATTGTATTGGTCAAACTTTCATAGCAAACCAAAACAAACATAGTGTAGTACTAGAATTTCGACTAGAATGGGGTACGTTTATAGATGTACTTGGGACCAATAAGCTAGTCAAGTAGTGAGCCAATTTAAAATCGTTTGTTTCCTCCGGTTAGGTACCATGTAGTTGAGCCGTGTATACAATGTCGGTGACAGCACATCGCCTTGAGGCAACCCATCACTGATGCTTATTTCCACCATTCCTGTTCCTACCTGAATTTGAACCCTTTCTATTTCTTAAGAATTTTACGATACAATTGGTCAGTAGATATGGCATTTTGCAACCGTACAAGATATTTTCCAACGTACCTTTTTTGACCGTATTGTATGCGTTGGACAGGTCTATAAAAACCGCCCCAGCAATATGTCCTTGTCTCCTTATTGAAGTGAGCTTGTTGATAACAATCATGTGTCGTTTTGTTTAGGTTTCCATCACTTCTTCCACTTCTCCACATTCTGTTGAGATCTGTTTTAGTGACGTTTTATCTTACATCCGGTTTTATACTTCGAAGGATTTCATAGCTTATACCGTCGGGCCCTGCTGTGGATGGTTTCTTCTTCATTTTCCAGGATACAGTTCCATTCCTCGACATTCACAATATTTGGGTGGTGAGATATGGTGGGAATCGAACCCACACCTCCCAGTACGCTAGACGGGCGCTCTACCACTATGCTACCGTGGACTTGATGCTACCAGATGGATCGTTCGCTTACCGGAAAATACGCCTGGACCCTCGAAAGAGGTAGCAATTGTCGCCACTCCGTAGCCATCGGTGTTCTAAGAAGCATACCTTTTAACGAGATTGACCTGGGAACTGATCTTTCCATAGTTGCTTTTCAATTGGAGAAGCCGGCAAACATTGCGATAGCCTGTGCATACCTGCCATGTGGGAGAACTTTGCTACAAAATCTGTCAAATTAAATCACCGGCGTTTTCAGCAAGCTACCCGAACCAAGAATGTTTGTCGGAGACCTCAATGGGCATCATCCAACTTGGGGCTGTCCTCGTCCGGATCCTAGAGGAAGCATCCTAATGGACCTACTCCATCAGGAAGACATGGCGGTGCTCAACCATGGAAACCCAACATTCTTCAACGGACGTCACGCCACGGCTATCGACGTCTCTTCGATCAGCCGTTCAATAGCAGGAAAAGTCACGTGGTGCACCAATGCGGATTTGTACCGAAGTGATCAATACCCCATCCAAATGCAGCTTTCGTCAGCCACGGCCCCAGAAGTCACTAAAAGGTTTTGCTGGTGGTACGACGAGGCTGACTGGGATGGGTATCAGGGGACAATTCTGTCCCTGATCCTCGAACGCAATCCGTTAACCATCCCGGATTTTTCTAAGTTGGTGTTAGATGCTGCATCCGCTACCATAACAAAGACCAGTAGCCTGCCTGTACGAAAAGCCCTCCGTTGGTGGAGCTAAGATACCAAAAAAGCCGTTAAAGCCCGCCGGAAAGCTCTACGGAAACTCAGGCGAACCCTGACAGATGACCCAAACAGGGAAGAGCAACTAACCCGGTACCGTGCACTGCATATTCAATGCAGAAAAGAAGTGAGAAGTGCGAAGTTAAACAGTTTGTCTGGTTTTCTTGAAAGCATCAACGCCTCCCAGTCCTCTGCCGATCTATGGAGCAGGGTTAATGCTCTCAGCGGTAAACTGCATTCGACGCCATTACATGTACAAGCTAACGAAGCTACCATCTCCGAACCGGCAGCCGTCGCCGAAGAACTCGGAGGGTATTTCGCAGAAATTTCGGCCATCTCCGGTTACAATAGCCAGATTCAGCGGTTGGCAAAGCCTACCCGTACATCAGTCGCTGAGTTCAACATCCCGCCTGACACGGACAACCTCGAGATCAACGAGCCTTTCTCCTGGGAGGAACTCCAGCACGCACTAAGCCGCAGCAACGGCAAATCTGCGGGACCTGACGATCTCGGGTATCCACTTTTAAAAAAGCTGCCGAAGGTTTCGGTACGTCCAGGTAAGCTTACGACCAGGAAAATCATCTCATTGGACATCTCCAAGGCCTTCAACCGTACATGGACGCCAGCCGTCATGGAAAAACTTACAAACTGGGGCTGGAAGGGGCATATGATGTATTTCATACGAAACTTCTTGACCGACTGGTCATTCCGTGTATTGGTGGGGAACACGCGGTCGAAAAGTTTCAGCGAGAAGACCGTAGTCCCTCAAGGCTCTGTTATCGCAGTAACGTTGTTTCTAGTGAAAATGAAGGGGGTATTTAACCGGCTACCTGGGCGCATTTACATATTTGATTACGCTGATTGTGGCCACCGGTCCCACACATATCCGAGCCCTACGGCAAGCGCAAGCGGCAGTTTCTGCAGTCGTCAAATGGACCGACTCGATGG